AGCTGCCCACTGCACGAAAACTCCAGGAGGAGAGCGTCCTGCAGGGCGCCAGCAGCATTGATCCAGCATCAGACCCCTGCTACGTGTCACGACTGGGGCTTCTGCAGAGACATGCCGAGGGTCAGTGCATCCCAGCTGACATCTGGGCCAGGACATGCTACGCTTTAAAGGATGGTTTCTGCCAGCCTCTGAGAACCTGAGCAATTTGACTCCTTTGGACCATACCAGATCAGGACATTCTCCAACAGTTTGTTCATGGCTGGCTCCATAGATTTGTCTCTCCAGCCTGCCCACCCAGCTTCAGTACCCTGAAGGACTTACGAGGATGATGGGTGATTAATGCATTAATTAGCTTCCATTCCAATTTTTTTTTTGGGGGGGTGCTTTGGGCTCTGGCACAAATATAAGTTAAATAAATGTTGCCTTTACAACACCACCCAGAGCAGGACGGTTTTACCCGTGGTCAGGAATGGAGGAGAGAGAGTGAGGAGCAGGGGGGTCACAGAGACCTGGGGGGTACAGCAGGAATAGGGTCGTCCCACCGTCCCGAGGCCAGAAACGGTCAGTGGGAAAAGCAGAGCTGCAGTGCGGGCAGCAGAAGCCCAGCGGCAGGCAGAGGAGGCAGGGACGCCCAGCCACACGCAGCGGTGCCGTCCCCTCCCATCCCATCCCACACTCACCCATGCCGTCTCTGCGGGGACCCTGCGGAGCGGGAAGCGGCGGGTTTGGCCAGGCAGCCGGGGGGCCAACCCTGCGCCGTTATATAGGGCTCAGCGGGTGACGTGGGGCCAGCTGACCCAAACTACAACACTCACCCTCTGGTTGTCATCAGGGCTGGAAATTTATGGTTTGTTTGCCCTCCATCCTTACGCGCCTCTGCTCACGTGCCAGCTGTTGCGCTTCTGTGATAAGAGGTCCCAAACAAACCTCAGCAAACAGCACCTGATGTTCACACAAAATTCCACCAAAATGACAAATGCTCCTGATAAGGATTTTTCTTGAGTTTTTTTATTACTTACGGGATTTGATGCCAAACCCTGTGGGGACATTCAGTGACCCGGGCCGTGCTGGAGATCTCCGTCAGACACCCTTTAGGGTCTGCCTACCCTAGCATGGTGCATCACCCGAGAGGGAGCCATGCTCTCTGACACTGCATCCTGGTTCCCATGCACACCAGGGCAGCAAAGGGGCCTTGACCCCAGCCCTGACCCCGCCACGGCGATGCAACTGCCCGGCTTGGTGCCAGCCCTCCAGCAGTGAACCCGTCCCATGGGGCAGCCACGCATGCGGAGGTGCTGCTGCCCCAGTGCTGGTGCGGGGCAGGTCCCGCAGCCCTCCCAAGAGGTCCAGCGCAGGCACCTCAGGAAGCCGAGGGGTCTGCTGGAGGGTTTAGCTCCGACTTCACAGCTCTGGGTAAGCTGGGGAGCAGACCTCATCACAGAGCTGGCTGCAGGCTCAATTAACAAGGTGGCTGTGGTTTAAGTGGAATAAACGCTTAATGGATGCTGAGTGCTCCAGTCTGAAGCCAGCCTTGCAAATGGCACAGGAATGGGAGGGGGGTGCTAAGGAGGGCAGTGGCATAGCCTGGCGATGCTGGCTTATAGCTCAGTGACACCGATCTAGGACCACGGTGAGGTATTTATCGATGGTTTGACACCAGCAGCTGCTGAGCCGCCAGAGCGTGTCCCTGCACCAGCCTCGGGACGCTCCGCAGCACCGCCGGGGACGGGCGCCGGCTCTGCTGCTGCAAGGCTGCTGCTGGTACTTGGCCCCGTGTTACCTTCATCCCCAAGTCCCTCATCCCCAGGTGGCATTGCCACCTCTGCTGTCCTCCAGGAGACCAGCAGGTGGTGGTGAAGGTCCCAGCAACAGCACACCCTGCCACCGTGCCAGCACCGCGCTGCGCCCTGCCTGGCCCCTGCTCTGGGTTACGCCAAGACTAAATGACTCTCCTTCCAGTACAGCGAGGAGGACGTTTTTCACCAAGGGACACACCTTCCCCTGCCCTACACCAGCCCCTCGTAAAGTTACCAGCTCCAAAATTACACGTGTATTCACAGAAAAAAGGATTCTTGCCAACTCCACTTTGCAGTAATATTTGTCGTGCTGTTGGACAGCAATGAATAACTTAGGCCTGATCCAAGACTGTCCTCAGCAGTTTCCTTTTAATGAAGCACCTTTCCTTTTACAAGAGCTTCCCAAAGTCCCTTGATAGATAACCTGGGGCTGTAGCATTTGTCTTTGATACATTTCTGGCAGCCAAATTTCACAAAGATGAAAAGGGTCTTCCCAGCCCTTTCAGCCAGCCCCCCCCATGCCATGCAGGAGCAGGGCTGGCTCCCCACACCCACCACGGCACCAAGTGTTGGCACCAAAGCCGAGGTGCCCAGCCGTGGCTGACATCCCAACTACACCAGCCCCTCGTAAAGTTACCAGCTCCAAAATTACACGTGTATTCACAGAAAAAAGGATTCTTGCCAACTCCACTTTGCAGTAATATTTGTCGTGCTGTTGGACAGCAATGAATAACTTAGGCCTGATCCAAGACTGTCCTCAGCAGTTTCCTTTTAATGAAGCACCTTTCCTTTTACAAGAGCTTCCCAAAGTCCCTTGATAGATAACCTGGGGCTGTAGCATTTGTCTTTGATACATTTCTGGCAGCCAAATTTCACAAAGATGAAAAGGGTCTTCCCAGCCCTTTCAGCCAGCCCCCCCATGCCATGCAGGAGCAGGGCTGGCTCCCTACACCCACCACGGCACCAAGTGTTGGCACCAAAGCCGAGGTGCCAAGCCGTGGCTGACATCCCAATCTGCCACTGCATGTGACCCCGGTGAGCACTGCGGTGGCCCTGCCTGCTGTTACCCTTCGATGCCTCCTGCCACCCTCACTCGATAGCCACAAAAGAGGTCCCCGAAGCAGGGACCCCATCATGAGCTCTCCTTGCGATGCTGGCCCTTGGAGGAGCGGCAACGGGGCACAAGCAGCCTTGGAGCAGCAAGCCCAGCTGAGGCATACAGAGGTGGCAAGTGGAGCTGAATTACGGGGCGAGGGAGAGGAGGCGGAGGAGGGGGCTGAGCCTCCTGTGCCGGTGGGGACAGACTTCTGCCCCCTCGCTCCTCCCCTGCCCTCACTCCCCTGGTGGGTCCTGCTGCCAAGGGAAGCATCACCTTCTAGAAGACAGTGTACTGCAGCCAGCCAAAGACCCACTGCTACTGACACGCAGGAGCACAAACGCCCAACAGGACTGACGCAACGTGGGTCCAGCAGAGTCAGCCGGCAGGTGACGGGTGAGGACCTGCCGATGCCTCCCAAGGCACCGTATGAGAAGAGGGATTGAAAGAAGAGGGGAACAAGGAGAAGACTCCAACCCAGTCCTGAGGGTTTGCCAAAACACCCTGCGGTAGCGTGTGAAAGAAGTTAAGCCTCCCCTGACAGATGTGGTCCCAACAGCTGTAGCCGCTGCTTGATGAGCTGGCCACAAGTGCATTTAAGATGCTCTCCTAGACAGCACCCAGCCTGGACCAGGCTGCCGGGGCGATGCCCACCCCACATGCAGTGGGGAAGAGCAGGAGGTCAGCAGAGCCTTCCTGAGCCTGTTTCTTCCCACCAAGACGTACGGGCCAAGGAAGGGAAGTGTAGGGGAAGGGGTACTGCATAGACATCCCCCCAGCCTATTTTTGCTCAGAGCTGCCCCAAGCATCTCGGGGACAAGGATGGCCCCCGGGAAAGGCTGCTGCCTTCAGCCCTCAGCCTCTACTGATCGAGGGCAAAAAGGCATCAGTATTTGCAGCCCAGCTCTGGGTCTGACCTCTTGGCAGCTCTCTGCAGGGAAGGAGCCCAAGACAGACCTCTGGCCATCACAGAAGTGTCGTGACATGCTGGGAGCTGGTAACTTGACAAACCATTGCTCAAAGGTTTTACCCTCTTTGATCTCCAGATGATACCAATCCCCCCTGTGCCCTTGGTGTTCATACTCCTTCCCTTCTGTTTGCCTTTCCCCTCTCCTTTAGCTCCTTTATTGCCCTGCAGCAGTTGGTAGATCCCCAGAAAGATTTAACTCCTGGGCAGGTCCAGTATATTGCCGTTGATAAACGCCCCACAGCTGGGAGGTTTGGAGTACTGTATTTTTTCCTCAGAAAAAAAACCCTTAGGGCCTCTTTGTGTAATCTTGAGCAAAGAGAAACCACCAGATGGGCATACAGTGATTAACTTTGTCCATGCAAACAGGGGAGCTGAGATCCTCACACAGAGGAGGTGTGTACAGGGAGAGACCCAGGTATAAAGGGGCAGAGGCCAGCATGGAGTTGAGAGCAGCGGGACTGACTGCTCAGGCTCCCGGCGTCTGCTCAGCAGCACCACAGCAATGGGTGAGTTCTCCTCTTCCTCATGGCTCCTTTTCTGCAGTGCTCACAGCTCTGGGGGATGCAAGTAGAAAACCAAGCTAAGTGACAGCAGTGGAGGACCACGGGAGCGGGAGCTGACGAGAGCGTCCAGCGTCCATCCCGCTCCTCCCCTTTCCACCCAGCCATTTCTTTCTAGTTCTCTGCTGCTGCTGCTGCTGCTGGGTTGTTTCCTGCATCCCTGTGAACGGCATGCTCTGCAGCTGGAGCAGCAGGTTTTATACGCTAAACTCAGCTGCAGTGCTTTGAACTATTTGCTCTGAATGTCCTTCACACAGATTTACTTCTTTCCCATAAAAATATCCTTTTGCATCTAGACCTGTAGAAAAACAAACAAACCACATTTAGGAGAAACATGAGAAAATGTGACTGCAGGTTGCTGTCTGGTGCAGGGAAGGGGCTGACCAGGAGGGTCATTTCTCATCTTGCTTCAGCCCTGCAGGGGCAGAGCCTGCACTGAAGCTGCAGCCCCCACCACCCCAGGAGCCCCCTGCTCCTGCCTGCGCCCCGTGGCTCTGCCTTTCCTGGTCCGAGCTCCCTGGGGGCCGGGGGGCTGCCCAGGGATCCTGGCAGTGATGGGCACTTTCCTCCCTAGGGCTCCAGGCTGGGACACGTCGGCTCCACGGGGACCTTGTCCTCCTGCCCACGGCGATGGCAATGCTTCTTCTCTGCATGAGCCCAGCACGTGCTGCCAGCTTCCAGGACGGTGAGTATGGGTGCTGGGGGGACAGTCGATGAGCTGCCAGGTTTGGGTGCAGCCGTGCTGCCCGTCGCTGAGCGCGGCCAAGCTCCAAGGTGCTGGATGCAAGTGTCCCCGTGCCAGCAGCCGCAGAGACAGCAGGTCTCCGCATTCAGACCTAAGCTGCAAAGTAGGGTAATCCTTGCCTCTCATCACCATCGGTGATGGTGATGATCAACGTTCCCAACACGTTCCACTGGTTGCAGAGCACCCAGTGAGATCCAGCATCAGCAGCATCAGTACAACTGCCCCACAGTAACCTGTCAGCACATTCTCCAGTACAGGTCCCTCATGTCTTCCTTGATCTGATGTCGCAGGGTTCCCCGCAGACTGCAGCCATCTCCACAAGACCAACCCCAGCGGGGTGTACGTCATCCAGCCGGCAGGGTCTCCCCCACGCGTGGTGTGGTGCGACATGGACACCGAAGGCAAGGGCTGGACTGTTGTCCAGAGAAACACTTACACCACCGAAACAGCGGGGTGACGTCATCCAGCCGGCAGGGTCTCCCCCACGCGTGGTGTGGTGCGACATGGACACCGAAGGCAAGGGCTGGACTGTTGTCCAGAGAAACACTTACACCACCGAAATCACGTGGAAGGAATCCTGGACCACCTACAAGTACGGCTTCGGGAACGTGCAGGGTGATCACTGGCTGGGGACCGAGTACCTGCACCTGCTGACACAGCAGGGCACCTACAAGGTCCGCTTCATCGTGCGGAATAAAGCCAACATCACCCATTACGCCGAGTACGACATCTTCAGCGTGGAGAGTGAGGCTAGCGGGTACCCACTGAGGCTGGGCCGGTTCCTGGGCAGTGGGGAGGACTACCTGACCAGCTATCACTCTGGGTACGGGGGCATACACGACAACATGAAGTTCAGCACAACCGACAGGGACCAGGACCAGCACAGCGGGAACTGCGCCAACAGCTACGGGGGCTGGTGGTATGACAAGTGCCAGAACGTCCTGCTCAATGGCAAGAAGTACATCTTCTGGCCAGGAATCTGCTCAAGCGGTGACTGCACATCCTCCCTCATCCTGGTCAAACCCACAGATGTGTGCTGACCGTGCCGCAGTGCCCAGCCTCCCAGGAGTTTGTGGGAGTGCCACCGTCCCCAGCTCAGTGCCCCGTTCCTGTGCCTGCCAACAGCCCTGTGCCAGCCCTGGTGCACGTCCTGCGCTGCCTGCAGCTCCTGCACTGTCACCAGCTGAAACACAGCAGCTCTGGGGCTCAGGAGCAATCGCCCGGAGCCCCAGGCACATGGGCAGCTTCACCCAGTGCCACGGTGCTGGCCGGCACTGGGACGCAGGCACTGGTTTGGGGTGGGTGCGCCCACTCCTGTCCTGGGGATGGGGAGACAGTGCAAGTTCCCTTCCCTGTGCGATCGGTGTACCCCTGCTTTGCTCAGGCCCTGCTCCCTCCCCGGGCCCCATACGCCCCACAGCTCTGCTACCCATGGTGGAAGAAATCAGCTGCAATAAACCCTGGAGCCAGACTTTGCTGCCTTGCGTCTACCTGCCTCCATGGCACTGCACACACACACACACGGGAAGAGTCGAGGTCCCAGGGCGGTGGATGATGCTGGGGGGCACCGTGTTCATGGGGGGGTCCCATTTGCTGCATCCCCTGAGACTCACCCTCTCCTTGCTCTGCTCTATGCCATGGCTAGGAGAGCTGGAGCCCCAGCCCCACCCTGCAGCAAGGGCTGGGGGGGTCAGGGTGCCCCTGAGGGGCATCAAGTCACCAGGAGGGGGGTTCATGCCATGGGAGATCCATCCCTGGGGCGGTCCCCAGGGTCCCTCGGCAGCCCAGGGCTGGGCGCTGGGGGGTGATGCTTCGAGGCCCCAGGAGGGTTGAGAGCCCCAGGGTGAGCAGGGGTCTTGGGGCAGCCCCACAGCCCTCAGCCTGGGCTCCCTGCAGTGGGGCCCAGAGGCTGCAGGGCTCCCGGGGGTGGCAGGGCATTGCATCATGGCCAGTGCCTTCCCACCCTGGAGCGGGTGACGTTGGGTGGCCGGAACCTGCCAGGACCCGGCTGGCCATGGGCGACCCACGCCTGCGTTTTGGCCAGCGGCCGGGGA